GCTCGGTTTTCGCTTTCTGAGAAGCCTCCTTTTCGGAAAAAGTCTAGTCGAAACTCCTAAAGATCGTTTTGTTTAAATGGGCCTTTATCCAGTTCGCGAGCTCGCTTGTTCGCTCATTCGTCTGCTCCACTTGCTCGCTCCTCGCTCTTGCATCCGCTCTCATCTTCGCTCGCTCTCAGCCTCCTTACTCCCGCGCTACTTCGTCCAACTTTTCCGCCGCCTTGAGGGGCCACGGATACGCTCTTTGTGACACGCGAATCGAGGCGTGGCTGTTTAAGGCAGGCAAGCAGGCAGGCAGACGCGACTCCGACAGCGCGACGTGGCGTTTCCCCCTCGGTCAGGAAATTGCGAACGTCGCGGTGCGCTTACCGTACCTTGATTTTTCGACAGCGATTTTCCCCTTTCCCGCCAGCTTCCGTCTGTCTCTTTTACCTGCCTGCTATCCCGCCGCGTTGAAGAAAGAGCAGGCAGATTTGAGTCGGGAGTTCAAGGATGCTCCTCGACGACGCAAGGAGACTGGATGAGGAGATCTCTCGCGCGCCCCGCCGCTTCTTCTCTCGCTCGACAGACGCTGTACGGAGCGGCGTGAAGAAAAAGAACTCGAAAATTTAAAGGCGTGAAATACCTCAAAAAAAAAAAAAAGAGAAGAAAAAGTCGACTCAGTTCGCTCGGAAGTAAAATGCACCTTAAATTTCATCAAGAACGACTTCGTGATATTTAATATAATTTTTGCCACCTTGCAAAAAAAAATCGAGAATTTTTTTTTATACTTTTATACCAGCAGATTTTTAGATGTGTCGTATAAATTATTTATCTCCTTGCTTTTATCTCCTTGCCACGACAATTTCCGAAAGCTATTTTCCCTCTGCTTGCGTAATGGTTCTTGTCGAACGGGCAATCTATCGCAATTTTCAGACTTAAAGACTACGAAGGCTGCATGATGATGTCTGCAGCATGGCGGGATGTTACCCTTCGCAAACAATCGATTCCACGCGAGCAAACTTGACACAGAGGATCAGGGTCAACCCTTGTCTATTTGCCGTTAACTACTAAGTAATCGAATCTTGTAATACATTGCCGTAGACTTAGACCATTAAGTACACAGAGATATGCATATTTATGCATATTTACGTAAGCCCATGCAAGATTCATGAAGTTTGCAAACGTGATATCCAACTGGGAGCACACGCGCGGTTAAATTTCTTATCCTCGGAATTTCCGAATTTGCAAAAGAATTGCAAGCGGTTTTCTACATCTTATAAACAAATTATCTAATAATAAATTATTTAATAAAAAGATCGTACAACTCACTTGATATACGTCTTCTTGAATGCAAGCCAAGTTTTTTACATAAGAATTATACGTTTCTACTTCTTGCAAATTAAACCAATTATTACCAATTAAAACCATCTTCTTTCAACTTCCACGCATCTTGATTGCTTTTCTAATATATTAATATTATTATTTACGTACTTTTGGTATTAGTAAAAGCAAGAATTTGTAATATCCCCAAGAAATTCAATAAAGTCCCCGTTTGCAGATCTTAAATATTCAGAAAATTAATGGGAATAGAGAACGGCGTTCGAGCGTCACGCGTCTATTAAAGACGTCTATTAAAACGTGGTCTTTTATCGATTAAGCGGATTTATAATCAATTAAGGTCGGGAACGCAGCCGCGATCGAGTCCGGCCGTTGATTATTATTATTATTATTGTGATCCTTCGCGGCCCACTCAGCCATCACTCAGCCTTGTCTTCCGTTTAATATCAATCGAGACCATCGCTGTAGTTATTAGCGTGTCGATTAAACGCCGACGTGCAACTTACTCGATGATTTTATCGTTGCGATACAAGCGATAAACACTATGGCAATTTTCGACGTCTGAATAAGGACGATCGTTATCCGACTGATAAACAGTTTTTTACACACGAATCGCGTCCCCGGGAAAACGTATTATTACGCGATATAACGCGCTCTAATCTATCATTACGAAATCTATTATTACGAAATTACACGGATTAAAAGCCTCGGTCGCGGATAGAAGCTCGAGCCGAGCGCGACCGTTGGAAAATAACTCTTTTAACTCCGCGCGCGTGCACCGAAGGCACGCCGATTGCATGCCGGTTGATTAGGCGCAGATTATTTCCTATTATTTGCATCTCAGGTCCGACAAGCACTGCTTACGCACGTACCGCTCGACGGATTGCATTATCGCGATGCAAACACGAATACCCCGGTGCCGCACATTCCCGTGATTAGCCGACGAGCAGGCAGACTAATTACCGAAATATCGGGTGCAACACGCGAGTATTACCTCGTACGTCAACATTAATGTGTAATAATGGCCGGGGCATCGTTGCGCA